AAAGTTAAAGGAAAAGCTTTGTTTGCTTAGAAGACTGGTAACAGGCTTTCCCATCCTGGTCACAGCCCAGAAATTCTGCCATGGTTTGTAGTGAACTTAGCAGTGGATGGGAGAAGCCCTGGGCTTTGAAAAAAATCCCTTCATTAGAACATCCACCAGCAGTTAGGATCCAAATCTCAAGGAGGGAGCAAGAAGAGGATGGTAACTTGTTCTATGAAATCTCACCTGTACGTTTTTCTTTAACAGTAAAAACTAGCACAGCCTAGATTTGAGGCTCTGCTCCACCACCTCAAATCTGTCAAGTTTCAGAGAATTTCTGATAACATTAAGACAAATTTTTACTATACTCAGACTTGCTACTATCTGATGGTCTGAATATCTGTATTTTCCCCATCAGATAAATATTCAGAGTACTTACAGAAGTTTCCAGTGCACCACCACCAAAAGCAACAAAGACGACGGAAATGCAACTGCTGCCTCCTTCCTCACCACACCGGGCCCTCTCAGCGAAGGAGGCCAATGCAGCAGAAGGGTAGGGAGGCATATACATCGTTTTACAAGTGCTAACCTCTGCCTTGCAGGAGGCTATTATTTCTCTAGCTAGCACCCTTCACATGTAATCAGTCCTTTCTTGCAGCAAAACAAACTCAAGTTCATACATGCTTAAAATAAGCAGGCTTGCAAGGTCCTCGCTAACTCATTCCCTAAAGTAGCCAACATCTCTTCTTCTACATTAGAGAAGAAAATACTTCTAGAATGGATCAATACAGGAAATCCCTCAGTAACTCTATTTTAACCAAGTGCCTGTGGGCTACTGTACCTTGTGGTATGGAGGTGGGTTGATAGGAGGGCTCAGAGAGCTGGTACGTTGGCAGAGTCGGCATGGCACTGGGTGGAAATCCTCCTGGGATCAGATGGTTGAAAGCCATCAGTTGGTTGGCTCCTGCCTGTTTCCTCCATCTAGCACGACGGTTACTAAACCAGACCTACAAATGTTTTGATTAGGCACATTTTTATTTTTGTTCTTTTAATATAGGTACATCAGAAATAACGGCACTGTATTTCAAACACATTTAGTGTCAGAGAAAAGAGACAGAGAAATTGCACACTGAGCTCAGAGCTCCTAGACAAGAAAGGAGCCCTTGACACACACTTCCATGGTTCAACAGACAGGGCACAGGAGTCTCAAACCCGGGTTTCCTCTTAAATACAGCCTCTGCCTGCAAGATTTATTGCTTCTAATAGCTACCCATCACTATCTTATTGTGCCATATGTAATGAGAAAGGGAAAACATCTCTCCATGTGATTTAAGTGCCATCCAGAGCTATTTGTTCTGGACTGGATTGTCTTTGTATTTAACTTGCTGACAGTTCAGCGACATTACTTAATACACTGTTGGAAGGTGCTTGTACTTCTATATTGGGATGCTATATTGCCCTAATGATCAACAGAACTTTTAAGCTTTTAATTAGAAAAATGCAAGCCCCATGTACAAAACACACAAATCCCTCCCAGCAAGTTTTCATGTATTCACATATGTACAGAACATCTCTTAATAAACTTGACATTAGCAGTAGATCAGAATTTCAGTACCAGATCAGCATTACAGAGCTACTTTGAAATCTGTTCCCAGGACAGGGTACCAAAACAGATGGGGTTTGGATTAGTGTGACATTTTAGCTATAAATCTGCTTTCCTTCATGTCATTCTCAGTTCATGTTTTAAGTTTTCCAAGTCTTAGGTGGTTCTTATTGCCTTCAAGAAAGGAAGGGGCAAGACTTCACAAATGCAGACATAATAAGAGTTGCAAAACACGTAGGTCAAGATTGACACTATAACAGTTACTCATCACCACATATAGGAAGGGCAACCACAAATAGAATGGGCAACCAGCCACAGCAGGGGTGCCTGGGCCAGCATGCATCCACACTGCCCTGCTGCAGGTTTGGAACAACTTCTGGATTACAGCACTCGGCTGCATGAGGTGGAAAGAGGGAGGCTACACGTATTTGTAAACAAGCATACAATTACTCATAATTATACACCCTGAAGCAACTGCAATGATCATCTGTGGATACTATCAATTAGATAAGATCTTGACAGAGTGTTAGCATCTTACAAGGCATATCTGCACAGCCAGTAATGTGATCTGGCCCAAAAGGCACTGAGGCATGTTAGCTGGTGAGCCACACGCAGATGTATTTGTAAAAGCTGGGTCTCAGATCTGTCACCCTTCCTGCAAGCAGCCCATGCTGGGCTATGAATCGGCTATCACAGACTGCATTTCTAGGTGTAACATCATGTACAAACCATGAGTGGCGCCTACATAAGAGTGTAACAACATTCTGGGCTACACTCTGGGCTTCTCCTCTGCTTCCTATTGCATAGCAGGAATGCGGGGACTAC